AAAAAAAAAAAAAAAAAGAAAAGAAAAAAAAAGAACTACCTGACAACCTATTGAGTGCAGATTTCTGGGCCTCTTAGGATTGGGAATGTCTGGGGTGGGGCCCAGAAATGTGCATTTTAAAAGGTTGATTCTATACTCACTGAAGTTTGAAAAGCACAGATAGAGACCTTTGAGCCTGCGATAGGATCAGCTGAGAATAAGGCTGTCACTTCACAGATGTGTGGCCTCTTTGAGCACATTTTTCCACATCTTGGGAAAGCTCACGCATGTGTGTGTGTAGGGGAAGAATACAATATCTGCTGCCCCAAATCCTTTCTGGAAAGAGACTGGGGCATTTTCCATCTGGGCAAAAATAACCGTCATCCTGCCTTTCTCCCAGGGTGGCCATGAGCAGAAAGTGACTGTGAAGGAGCTTTGTAAACTGGAGAGGGGGGTGCACCTGGTTATTACAGTGGCGCCTGTGAAACAACTCGATGTGTTTTCAACAGATCTCTCGTCTCAATCAGGAGGTGTCTCAGCTTAGCCGGGAGCTGCGGCACATCATGGCCCTGCTGCAGGCCAGGCTGGGTCCACCAGGCCACCCAGCAGGCTCCGCTTGGACCCCAGACCCTCCTTGTCCACAGCTGAGGCCACCAGGCCTCTCTCCTTGTGCGTCCAGACCATCACCCAGCCTCCAGGATACTACGCTTGCTGAAGTTCACTGCCCAGCCAGTGTGGGGACCATGGAGACAGGGACTGCGCCCCTGGACTTGAGACCTTCCATATTGCCCCCCTACCCCTCAGAGCCTGACCCTCTGGGACCCTCTCCAGTGCCAGAGGCCTCACCCCCAACCCCAAGCCTCATGAGGCACAGTTTCCAGTCCAGGTCAGACACGTTCCACTGACCCTGGCCCAGGGCCCAGGCCTGTCTGGGGTGGGCATTGCCACTCACCACTCAGGGAGGACCTGGGCCCCTTGGCTTCCTGCCTTGGGGTCAGCAGCCACCAGCTGGCCTGGTTGGCTCTGGATTTCTGGACTTTTTAACCAAGCGTGGTTACCTCCGACGCTATTCCCTTTTCCAAGCCTTCCCCAACTTCCCCCTCTGTGAGGGGAGCCACCTGAGGGCTGTGGAACCCAGCAGGCATGAGATGAACCGCAGTGCCCATTGGGCTGGGCAGATGAGATCCTACTTTCTCCCCAGGACCTGGAGGCAGGTAGAGATGGGGGAGCAGAGGGGATGGGCAAGGGACCCAGCTCCAGCCTAGGACATGAAGGCAAGACCAGGCAGGATCTTAGCGTCTATAGCAAGAGACAGGTTGCAGGATTTTGCCTGAAGATAGCTTAGTGATATTGTGAGGTCTTCTGTCTCAGCCCCTGGGTCTCTGCTGAAGACCTTAAGAGCAATGTTACCTAGAGACGGGTAGGTTTGAGATGCTGCTTGGAATTTGAGCAACCCACGATTTCTTAGGCCGCCCACCATGAGCCCAGGCTGGAGAGGCTCACCTCATCCCGCAGCCCACACAGGAAACAAATGGATGGCTCCAGATATGTGCTCTTTGGCTCTCACAGCATTATTTTCAAAATATAAGCTAGTTCCAATATTAAAAATGAGATAGGGCCGGGTGCGGTGGCTCACACCTATAATCCTAGCACTTTGGGTGGCTGAGGTGGGCGGATCACCTGAGGTCGGGAGTTCAAGACCAGCCTGACCAACACGCAGAAACCCCATCTCTACTAAAAATACAAAA